TTGGTCGTTCATTTGGATTGACACTCTTAGTCTTCAAACTTTCATAGTAATCGCTTAGATCTTTTTCGGCTTTGGAGATAAGGTTACATGCTTCAATGAAATCCACAAATTGAATAGTAGATACGTGCGGCCTGAGATCAGGTCGAAGTCTTTTGCGAAATTCCTCAATGCCGTCAGCTGCTGTGCTCACAAGCGTGGGTGCAAATTGAGCAAGATGGACAAATCTTTGTTGGTATTCAGGGAGTGTCATATCTCCTTGCTTTAATTCGATAAATTCAGCACGCTTCTCTTCACGGAATCGAGCTGGTATATATTCCTTTTTGAACGCCCAATCGAAGAATTCCCAAGTCCAAGGTTTGGGTGTGTTTGGATTTTCGTCAGTACGTTTCCACCATTCATAGGCTTCCTTGCGGGGCAATTGATATGCAAATTTTGGATGGTCAACCAGAGGTATGTTCAGATTTTGTAGTACACGAGCGGTCTGCTCGATCCATTCAAGAGCGATTTGGGGTTCGGCAATTCGAACTCCCAGAAACTCCTCAGCACCATTGTTTTTCAAGGTTTTGAAAGTGATCAAACAAGGTGGTGGTGGAGGTGGTTGAAACACAGGGGCATTGGTCATTTGTTGCAAAAAGTTTACCATTAAGGTAGGTAGCATAACGTCAGGTTGACCTCCAATATTTTAATCGTTTTGGGGAACATGTTGTGAGTTCACTTGATCAGAGTGAATAGGAGGTGTGAAACTGGATGCTTCAGTATGAACATTTTCGTGCCCATCGCTTGGCACTTGGTTACTTTGATCGTGAGAAGTTTCTTGACTCATTCTACAATAACAAAAATTCCTTCATTAGGATTCTTGACTTGCATAGACGAGTCAACGAATATTTATTCAATCTGACTACATCGATGTTTAAGTCACTAATCGTGTCATAAGAATGCGTCATTTCATTCAACAAGATTGAGCTATCCATAACTTCTAACAAGTAGGTTCTTTGAATTTGACCGAATAAATCGTCAATTAATAGTAAAGGGTAGCGATTCTTGATTGTCAGTTTGTTTGTTTTAACAGAGATGTGATAGTATCTTTGACCGTAAGTCAATCTTAGAGAGCACAATGGATTCTCTAAGCTGATCAAATAAGTCATAGAGACGAGATAAGGATAACGTCAATTTCCTTGTAGGATATTTCAACAAAGTTTTGCAAGGAATTGTTGCTGAACGAACGATTTTGATTCGTATAATATAATCGCATATTTGCGTCGTAATGAGTTAGACATCAGAATGGGATACTTTTAGACAACAGAGTTTATTAATTCTAAACGTTCGTGTTTAAATCAGCAATCCGATCGTCTTCAGTCCACATGAGGATCTTTGACAGCAGCTTCGCGAATGTTATTCAACATTAGGCGTTTCTTCATAGTCGTTTCATTTCTATGCGACCTTGCGAGGCAGATCAGTTTCGTCATTCGCGAAATGATAAGTACGTTGATAACGTATCACAATTTTTTTTATTCTTTCCTTTCTTCACCGAGTACGAAAAATCTACTTGAGTCTATGCTCGATATAATCTCAGTACTAACAATTTTTATCTAATGAGAATTCTAACACAGTAAATATTTTCCAAGTGATTTCCCATACCTTTCCTGGAGAAGAGGGATGCGAGAGTCGTGGATGTGACTTACACATTTTTCTTAAAATTCAAATTTTGATCCGAAGATCGGTTTTAAAACCATTTGCTCTGATACCAAATTGTAACACCCTAATCCGTCCAGGTCTGCAACCCCATTCAGACTAAAGTATTTAACTTGGTAATCGTAAAAATTTAAAACTTTTCAAATACACTTTATTAATCTCAGTAATATTTTTCATAACATATACAGTACGGAGTATTCAACAATATTGCGGAAGCGAATTTAATATTGACATATCATAAATCATTTCAAACTTGTCACATCCATCCCGACAATCTCGCCCCATCTGCTGCCAGGATCACAGTGTTCTTTCTATTTTACCTGCGTGTAGCAAATAAAACACACTACCCACTCAGCGGTAAAGCTGAGTAAGCATATCTAATGCGTCGAACATCCATATAAACTGAATCTAAATTCATAATCAAATCATTTGATATCATGCACACAATTTTCATTTCAGACATTCACAGTTTTGGTATTGTTTAGTTCATATCAACACATTTTATTTAATTCAGATACTATTTCAATAGTGCTCTTAAATTATTCTTAATCTAAGGCCAGATCATAACAACGCTCTTAGCTATTTTTAGTCTAAGGCCAGATCATAATAATGCCCTTAGCTATTCTTAGTCTAAGGCCAAATCATAATTTCCAAAACCACATTCTTAAATGCAATTATTAATCCGACACTTAAACTATCATTAGTTTAAGGCAATTGATTTCGGACACTTAACTGTAGTCAGTTAAGGCAATCAGACACTTAACCTATCACTAGTTTAAGGCAAATGATTCGGACGCTTAACCGTAATCGGTTAAGGCAACAACAACATAGCGATTGATCAACATTGGATCGGACATTCCCAAACGAGTAATCCTTTAGTTTGGTCTACGAATCCCGTTTATACATTTTTATCAAATTCATCAACTATTTATGTTTTCATAAGTTCATCCTAAGATCTATTATAAGGGTCTTCTAGATATTTTTAACATCAATTAGCTAATAGGTATATCTTAAAGTCTTCTAGATATCCTTAACAGTACACATCATTTTCTTGTTGATCAATTTATTCATTTTGAATTATGGTTCAGTAATTCATAATCATAATTTAGTTCACAAACAAACATATCTATTCATAATTTTATCTTTACGATTCTTTCATTCAATTCCATACATTTTTATTGGTCATAATAAAATCATGATCGTTATGTAGTCATAATTACTCGGGTCGTCCATTTGATCATCATGATCAATATTTATTATCAATGATATTACATTATCCATTATAATAACCATTTATTCAGGATATTATCAAGGTTTCATTGTAATAGTGATAATAACATTTATTAACAAATAGCGGCCTAGTTTCGAGTGTTAACACCCGTACTTACCGTCATGCATCACATAATGTTCTATATGTCAAAAACATCATTTTTATTGTAGAAAATCATATTTATATTGTTCATAATTAATTGGTATCAAAAATAGGATTTTGGAGCTCAAAAATAGCATTTTCGGACAAATTTTTGGATCAGAATTTCGGGGGATTGTAGTGTGATCGATCAAGGCAGAGTGATCGATCAGGGCAGTGTGATCGATCAGGGCAGTGTGATCGATCCAAGCAGTGTAGTTTCAGGTTACTGTTCATCGTCTTCTACCTTCGGTCTATTTTCGGAAATATCATTTTTGGTTACCAAACTTCATGTAGATCCTGCTACGAAAATGTTCCTGAAAATATGCTCTAAAATCCTATTTTTGATACCAATTAATTATGCACAATATATATATGATTTTGTATAATAAAAATTGTGTTTTTGGCATATAAAATATTATGTGATGCATGACGGTAAGTTCAGGTGTTAACACTCGAGACTAGGCCGCTGTTTGTTATCAAATGTTATGTTGATTGATGATTATGATGAATGATTATTAGGATGATTATGACTTGATGAAACTACTGATTAAAATGATTATTGAAGATTAAATTATGAATTGAAATGAATATGTTGGTGATTATGAAATGATTTGAATTGTAAGGATATCTAGAAGAACTCTAAGATATACCTAGGTTGACGTTGGTTTCTAAGACTATCTAGAAGACCTCTAAGATGGCTTAGAAATAGGCCTTGCAGGTATAATTATGAATATTCGGTGGCTTGGGTTAAAACGTACGTACGGGATCTACAAAGCAAACTAGAGGAACTTGTTTGGGGATACCACCCAACCCGACACTGAGCATTCCGCTGTTCGGTTTCTGGATGACCTTAAGCGAAGTTAAGTTTAAGATTTTGAAAACCTCTTTTTAAAAATTTGTATCTTAAACTAGGCCTAGCTTAAGGGTTAGTTAAGAGTACCTTAAACTCGAATTTAATTTAAATATCTTAAACTAGAATTCGTTTAAGAGTTGGTAAATATCAAATAGATTGGCCTTAGACTAAGAATAGTTTAAGGATATTGTTGAATGAGGATGTTGAATGTTGAATATGAATATTGAATGACGAATGTTGAATATTGATTATTGTACATTTGAACTGAACACTTTGTGCATGATATCAAATGATTTGATTATGAATTTGGATTCAATTTATATGGATGTTCGACACATTAGATATGCTTACTCAGCTTTACCGCTGAGCTTGTAGTATGTTTTAAATGCTACACGCAGGTTAATAGAAAGAATGACGTGACGTGATTCTAGAGGCAGACGGAGGCGAGATTGTCGGAATGGGTGTGATGGTTTTGAATTAAATAACATAAATAAATTATGTTTGTAATTATGATTTGTTAAGCTTCCACAATATTGAAAACTCTGCACTGTATATGTTACGAAAAATATTATCGTGATAAATAAAAGTGTTTGAAAAGTTTTAAATTTTACAATTACCAAGTTAATACTTTAGTCCGGAAGCGGCTGCAGACCTGGACGGATTAGAGTGTTACAGAGCGCGGATGCGGCCTTAAATCACTTTGGTCCGAAGACCGTTTTTAAAACCATTTTGCTCTGATACCAAGTTGTAACACCCCGATTCGCATAACCCGGTTCACGCGAGTTTGCGGACCAGAGCGCTAGCAATTTGGTAAAGTAACATTCCATAACTTTTTAATAAGTAATGCTAACAGAAATTTAGAAACATTTAAAACAATTTTATCAAAATATGATAAAATAATTTTCGGAGTAACTTAATTTAATCATTGCGGAAGCTAAATAAGATTCAACATATTTACACATATGGGTCCAAGCCCAAAATACTTTAAATTATTAAAACAGTCCCCGCATCCTTCTGCCAACTCTCCCGCATCAACATCTTCCGGATGGACGCCATAGCTTATTACCTACGCACAGTCACACAACAAAGACAACTGTGCGCTCAGCGAAACCGCTGAGTGGTACCACAACGTAGATTTCATAGAATAATTCATAAGGCACATTCACATATATACGAGAATCAATTCCCTTTTTAAACCCTTTTTATTTTAGAAAATCCACTCAGCTTCTTTTTGTGAAACCTTTAATTATAGAAATCTAACATTCTTCATTTTATGACAAGGTGTAAGAACATCTCTTCGTATAATAATACGTATCCAAAGTACTCATTAAAAACAAGAGTATTATTTCCAAATACACTTTATTCCGCAACTGACAAACCATTATTTTTCCATCATTTCATATAGAAACAAATCCATATCTAATAATAAACCATCATCCTTAATTTTACCAATCACTATACAATAATAGTGATATCCCTTATTTTCAACCATTATTATTTTATCCTCACGCCATACTGAGTCGTTCTCCGTAGAGGTAGGCTTGATAAGACTTCCCCTGTCTGAGTCTGGGTCCGAGCGCCCTTCTCTTCAGGTTTAGAATTTGTTCCGTGGCATTTCCGAGTCTGGGTATAAATACTCTTCTGGTTCCGGACACACGGGTTGAGTGATCCCCGGGCGCCTGACCGGTTCTAAGACCTTATGTACGTACATACTCAACTCCTAATATCGCCCACATCTATACACTCAAATCCATACTATTTACCACTAGAAATAATCTAGATTTAAACTAACCAAAAATACCTTTTTGGTTATTAATGTCGCCATCAAAATCATCACTTCTACGAATTTGAGTATATAAAGTTTTACCATAAAGTCTCCAACACAATATCATCCAAAATATCTCTTTTAATCACTGTAAATCATTTAATCATGTTCATGGATTGGATCATGTGAGGAACTCAAGTTTAACCCACATAATATAGTATTATAATTTTTTTAGTCTAACCCGTCCAATGATATCGTTTGATTAATAACACATCTTGGAAAATATGATTTGACATACTCAATTTTTGTATTAGAGTCCTTCTAGTCCAAAACATTCATTTTAAATACTTTTGGAAGTTATAATATGTTTATAAGTCAATCAAACCAATACCAAACATTTATCATCCATTTTAAGTATTTTTGGAAGTTAAAATTTGAGTTGGAACGTCGGGTGATCGATCCTCGAAGGAGTGATCGAATCAATTCTTGGCATTAGATTTCTTTTAGTAAAAAACATCCATTTTTAGTGTTTTTGGAAGTTAAATTATGGTTATAAACCCATCAAACAAATACCAAAGATTTATTATCCATACGACATCGAAAAACGGTTCAAATCCGAGTTGGAACGTCGGGTGATCGATCTTCAAGGGGTGATCGATCCCCTGACTCTTAAAAATCTACGTTTTAGTAAAATTTACCCCAGAGGATCGATCCAGAGGCTTGGATCGATCCCCCGAACCTTAAAAACCGGTTCTGGGGCTCTTTTCCATCGTTAGGTGATCGATCCAACTTCAGGGTTTGATCCACTGACGGTTCCTATGCGTTTTTGGGTTCGTTTTAAGCTACGGAATGGTTCCAAAAGTGTATATATTGAATATATACTCTACTTTGAATCTGTAAGTTGTGTAGGAATATTTTAGGCACAATTTTGGGCATTCTCCGTCATCGACGATTCATGGGTATCAAGTTGAGCGTTTTATCGAGACTATCGATATGACTAACATAAAATGACATGTAGGCATATGAAACCATGTATTATGAATGATTCTAAGGAATCTCACGTCGTAACGAGTCTGGGATACAGACCTTAGAGTTCGTAGGCGAACACAATGATCTTAACACCTCACGTACGTTCAACGAACGGACGTCATTATCTACTTCTAGCTTTCCTTTTCTTGAGGTCTTCTCTTCGAACCTTGATATCGCAGAGTTTTATGGCGTAAGGAGAGCATTAAAATGAGTATAATAATGATAGGATGGAACATAACAACTTACCTAGAGTTTTCTTCCCAAAACTCCATTAATGGTGGAAAAAGCTTAGAGAAGAAAGAGTGGAACTTGCAGGAATTTCTTAAGTCTCAAAATGTGATGAATGAAGGGCACTTCTATTCCATTATATTGGGAAGTGCAGGAGAGTGGAGGTTAATGCATCACAATCACAACCACCCAATCACTTCAACCATGTCTAGCCAAATGAGAGAGGTGGAGGTGATTGTCAATGTTGGCTACCCACTAAACAAGAAGATGTGATGATGGGAAGGAGGTAATAGTGGGGAAGAGGTTAGGGAATCCTGGGAATTATTTGGGAGAGTGAATATGGGATTTGGGATTAAATCCCTGTTCTAGAAGAAATAGTTTATCTGTTTAAATTTCGGGTTATTTTCCAAACGGAGTTCGATTTCGAAACCGATAACATTTTTGAACTTGGAAAAATAAATGGAACTCAAATACGTAATAAAAATATTTTTCCTAATATTTTTATTTTTCAGGCCGTCAGGGCCCACACGGTCAAAATCAGTGGTTTACGTAGTTAATTCTTCAAGACCGGTTTTCGTGGCGTTACAACTCTCTCCCTCTTAATAAAATTTCGTCCTCGAAATTTAAGTAAGGAAAGAAATCCTACAACGATGTCCGATCGTATTTCACATTATGATGAGATTTGATTACCCTAGTCGTTTTCTCATTTATGAAATATGTTTTGAGCGAATGGAAAGTTTAATTCGGGAGGATAGGATTTACAAAAGGTGTATTCGATGATATCAAGTACTTCTCATTCTAACCCATTCATGTGTAACTATTAGTAACACCAGTTTAACCAAAAATCCAATGCTCTGTGGTTTTCGAGTGGCAAAACCAATCGTTGGTAATCCTTGTACAGGATCCAATGTTACCCATAACACATCCGAATCGAATGTAACCTTTATTTATAACAAAAAATAGGGAAGAAACACTTTATATATTTATCCATTTAATTTATTCATGCCCATATGGTAACAGAATCTAACACTCTTATTTTTCCGGGTCTGCAGCCCCTTCTAAACAAGGTTGTTAGTTCCGTTCCCAGTAAGTCACTTATTAACAAAACATTTGTAGAATTCTGATATTAATCATGTTAATCTTTCCTTTTCGTCAATTGTTTAAAAAGTCATGTTTGAACAAGACCTTTAATGTACTTTTTCGGATAAATGTTGAATATTAAATAACTCTTCTTCTGCCTCACCGCATCATCTAGAAATTTGATTAGGTTATTAAAATAACCATCGATGTTCAAGAGACCAATGGGTTTACTATGTAACCCTTCATATGGCCATGAGATCAAAGTGAACAAACCTTCTATAATATCAATTCCCCTGGGAAGTATGATGAAAGCTTCTACAACATGATTCATTTCGAAGCACATATAGTAATTGCTGGAAATGGTGTACTCTGCACCATATGTAGGTCCGTAGACCTGTCGTGCTGCTATGTACCTTGGTATGAAGCCTCTAACTATACCACCATTGGTATAGACTGTTGAAGCAACGGCTCCTTGAAGGCCAACGTTGCCTCCTCCATTGGGTAAGCCTAATTTTTTGCCTTACTAATTCCCTTCCTAAATCTACCGTCGTAGCCATGAACTTTGGATTTTTACCAAGAGCATGACTACCAAGTAGACCAATGAATTTTATGGTGTAAGGAAAAGTTCGAGAAGTTCCTTCCATAATTTGAGAATGTGAGATACTCTTACCACAATCGTGATATATATAGGATCTGAAAACCTGACCTTTGAAAAGGGTTAGTTATCCTCAGTCGAAATTTGTACAACAAGGATGGATTCGAATTTCCTACTGACAATGACGTACTCGCTCATACTGCAGTCTGCTGACGATATGACATATTGAGATTCATGAACAGTTAGATTCACTATCCTGAAGTACATTCAAATCTGGACGAAAAGTCAAATTGGGTAATGCCTAAGACAACGACCCCTTGAAAAACATAAAAGATTACGTTACGACGTATGAATTGAAATAACCTCCAAGTTTCCAACTATGCCTATCGTGACCCTTCTACAAAAGGTATTGAAGAAATTTTCAGTCGTTTTTGATGATGTACAAACGAGACTCTTGATTGAATGAAGTTATGTACAAATATGTCAAGTATGCAATAGTATACACTATGAAGGAACTTTTGTCATCAAAGGATCAGTGAAGACCTTGCTTAATTGAAAATTGTTAATCTTTCGAAGATTGAACGAGTTTGGTGGCATTAACGATTTGAGAATGCGTATCTATGAGACGTAACCCTATGGACATGACGCAATCATGATTAGATATGAATACAACAAGATGTTCATTGTGGACCTTAGAAGAATTTCGAGGACGAAATTTTTTTAAGGGGGGGAGAAATGTAACGCCCCAAAACATACCCTAGAATTATTAATGAATAAACAATCAATTAATCAAATTTGTTTTGATTAAAATAAATTATTGTTGGGCTTTGGGCTGATATGAAATGTGTTTTGACATCCAATATCAAAATCTGGATAAGTCTCATAGAGATAAATCTAGTATGTGGTCTATTTGTATGGTCTTGGTTGTGAACCTGAGTATAGACCCAAATCAAGAGTAAATAAAGAATTTGTTTAGAATGTAAATATTGAAATGATTTCTTAAAATAAATCATGAGAATAACTGATTTGAATTAAATGAGAGAACCTTTTATGAGAAAGGTCAATTAAACCAATTTTGACTCTGTCAAAGTCAAACACCCAAAAATAAGATGTCAGAAAAGTGTTACAAATAAATATAAAAATTATATTGTTGGATAGAGTTTAATTGTCTAATCGCAATGGTGCAAACGGAATTCAATTCGGAGAAAGTTGGACCAAAAAGTGTTCCCCGACTGGGACCAAATTAGTCCCAATGAGGGACTTGCGTTTGGAATCGTAGAGATAGGCCGTCTGCTCCACTGAGACGCCAAATCAGTAGAATCACCGTGTCTTCTTCCTCTTCCTTCTCCTATAAAAGACTACCACAACTCCCTCCATTCTTCACCATTTGTTACAAACTTTCTATCTAATCTGTTGCTGGGAGTGAGGAGAACGCAGTGGTCCTGTCGTATTGGTGTGAGGTCGCCGGAGAAAGCCACAATCCTCGCCGGAAGATCTTCAAAACCTTCATTTACCTTCGAGGTAAGCCCGTAGATATATCTAGTGACTAGAATGTTCATATAGATCGTTTCTACGTTCATAAACGGTCGTTTGGTTGAGTTTTGTGTTTGACATGCTTGAAGAACCAAGAATCATAAACCATGAAATTGATGTTAAAACTATGAATTAATGATTCCAAAATGATCTATGAACCTTGGATAACATCTCTATATAGTTTTGTTGAAGTTCGATAACTAAAAACGGTATTTCCGGAATTGGACCCGAACGAAAAAGAAGATGAACAGTGGCTGAAACACCACTTTCTGGATCGATCCAGCGGCTTGGATCGATCCCCTGGGAGTGATTGTTCATAGTATGGATCGATCTAGAGGGCTGGATCGATCCCCCGAATTTCTAATCCGAAAATTTGTCCGAAAATGCTATTTTTGAGCTCTAAAATCCTATTTTTGATACCAATTGATTATGATTATCTTAAGGATGATTATTTACAATAAAAATGATGTTTTTAACAAATAAAAATGTTATGTGATGCATGACAGTAAGTTCGGGTGTTAACACTCGAAACTAGACCGCTATTTGTTATCAATTGTTATGTTGATTGATGATTATGATGAATGATTATTATGGATGATTATGAATGATGAACTTACTGATTAAAATTATTATTGATGATTGAACCATGAGTAAAATGAATATATTGATAATTATTAAACGATTTATATTGTTAACGGTATCTAGAAGAACTCTAAGATATACCCATTAGTTAATTGATGTTAAGGCTATCTAGAAGACCTTTAGAATAGATCTTGTATTAGAATAGACTTATGAAAACATGAATATTTGATGAATTAGATAAAAATGTATAAACGGGATTCGTAGACCAAACTAGAGGATTACTCGTTTGGGAATGCCCGATCTAATGGTTATCAATCGCTATATTGTTGTTGCCTTAACTGACTACAGTTAAGTGTCCGAATCATTTGCCTTAAACTAATGAGAGTTTAAGTGTCCGATTGCCTTAACTGACTATAGTTAAGTGTCCGAAATCATTAGCCTTAAACTAATGATAGTTTAAGTGTCTTATTAATAATTGTCTTACTAAGAATAGCTAAGAGCATTGTTATGATCTGGCCTTAGACTAAGAATAGCTAAGAGCATTGTTATGATTTGGCCTTAGACTAAGAATAGCTAAGAGCATTGTTATTATTTGGCCTTAGATTAAGAATGATTTAAAGGCACTGTTGGAATAATATCTGAATTGAATAAAATGTGTTGATATGAACTGAATAATATCAAAACTGTGAATGTCTGAAATGAATATTGTGTGCATGATATCAAATGATTTGATTATGAATTTAGATTCAGTTTATATGGATGTTCGACGCATTAGATATGCTTACTCAATTTTACCACTGAGCGTGTAGTGTGTTTTATTTGCTATACGCAGATAAACAAAAAGCATAATGTAATCCTGGCGGCAGATGGGGCGAGATTGTCGGGATGGATGTGACAAGTTTGAAATGATTTATGATATGTAAAAATTAAATTCGCTTCCGCAATATTGTCGAATACTCCGTAGTGTATATGTTATGAAAAATATGATTGTGATAAATAAAAGTGTTTGAAAAGTTTTAAATTTTTTACGATTACCAAGTTAAATACTTTAGTCCGAAAGGGGCTGCAGACCTGTACGGATTAGGGTGTTACACCTACTTTGGGTTTCAACGAAGAGGACTTGGACGCTGGATTGGGTTTCTTAGAACCCTTGCGCTTGGTCCCGGCCGGTGAACGTGACCCACTCTTCTTCACAATAGTACTATCCTCTACCATCAGGACAGACTTACCCTTGCCCTTCCCTAGACTCTCCTCAGCAGTTGTGATGAATTTCAGTAGCTCACGCATAGTCATCTCTAGTTTGTTCATGGAGAAGTTCACTACAGTTTGACTATACTCAGCTGGTAGTGATCCCTTGATGAGATCAGTTGCCAGCATAGGGTGCAACGGGGCATCCAGTTTTTCAAGAGTTTCGATCTGACCGATCATCTTGAGAATGTGGGGACCAACTGGGTTACCCGCTGCCAACTTACTGAAAACATAGTCGTAGAGATTTTGAAACGCTCATGTCTAGTCTGGCCTTGGTACAGACCTTTCAAGCGAGTCATCATAGGATGATCTTCCATGTCCTTGTGGAGCCTTTGGAGCTCCTGGGTCATGGTGGCTAGCATGAGACATCTCGCATCGCGTGCGTCATCCTCATACTTCTTGTACGAAGTAATTTCCGCAGCACGGGCATTCGCTTCAGGAGCTTTGGGAGGCTCAGAGGTAAGGACGTAGAGATTTTTCTCGCATTCGAGAACAATCTTAAGATTCATCTTCCAATTAAGGAAGTTAGTTCCAGATACTTTTTATTTTTCTAGAACATATCGCAGGTTGAAAGCATTGTTGTTGTTTGCCATCTACAGAAAATTTTGCAAATTAGGTTATCTATCATGTTTAATAATTAGTTAGGCCCTTAATTAATTATCTCCCACTATTTTTAACAAATCAATAACCTTCGATATTGATTCGGAGATTTCCGGCGAAACCTCTAGTGGGCCAAGATCCATATTTCATTATCTTGCGTTCCGCTTGGGCGTTACTCCACAAGACAACTATTTAGGTAAGAACACAGTTCAAACTGATGAGCCGGGCTCTCAGCTCTTGGTCTGGTGTTGGGCGAACAATATTACTACAATCGGACCAGGACACCTTTTCACCATACTTGTAATTGGCTGAGGCACGTCTTACAAGAGACTACTTTGGTTAGGAACAGAGTTTCAATTAAATCATAAAGATCCATCTCCTGGCTGGATGATTGAGTAAAATAATCCGACTTGTCATTGATGACCCCAACATAATGCCTCTGAGCCGTCCATCCATTTTACCGAGACTCAGTTATGTCTAACCCAACGTGCGACAGCGACCATGCTATGGCGGTTCCCGTAACCAACTTAACATACACCGTACTATGCTCTGCTCAGGCTGAGTACATGACAATGCACATTAGCCGAATAGTTTCCGGGCGTCAGAAGGAAACATACTTAATATTCGTGATGGATTTATAATTTCGATCTCACCTATCGACATGGGCGCGCACATGTCCATTACTAGCGTTCAACATACATTCAACATGCATTCACAAAACACAGTAAATAAACGTGTAATGATTGTGGCCCCTAAAAGAAAAATTAAAACGATAGCTCCCACTGGCTTCCGGGCACTTGGACTTCGGGCTATTTCCATTCCTTTAGATTTCTTCAAAACGGACTTCAAATCTTTTCGTCTTCTAACCACCACCACGTGAGAAAAAAATCCTCAGTTGAAGTAAGAGATAGAAATAGATTTACAACAAGAGTTTGAAAGATAATGCACGACACACAGGCCGTATTCTAATCAAATAAACTATAGCCACAATAATCCACCATGCATATCATACATTCACACAGGCAATAGAGATATACATACACCGGGTGAGCCGCGCTCACCCTAGACACTCCTAGAAAAATGCTACGATAGTAACTATTTTCTAAAACTCATAAAATTAAATTAGATGTCCAAATAAGTCTAATAAAATTTTATTAAAATCATTTTATATATTCTGGATACTCGTCTAGAATAAAAAATCCAGAATATTACAAATGACCAATATGCTCTTTTTGCAAAATTATTTTCAAAAAGGCAATTAAAATTTTGAAACAATTTTGCAAAAATCATGAAAATAAAATTTCAACTTCCACCACTTATTTTTAACATTTATAAACCAGGAAATAAAATTTCCAAAATTTATAAATCATTATTTCTAAAATATATTAGTTAAAACTCAATAACTTATAAAAAGCAATTTAAACTATTTTTGAAAACATTAAATTATAAAAATTTAATATTTTGAAAACAAATTCTTTTCCTACTGGGATATAACTTTCCAAAATATAAATTAGTCATTTATTAATTTAAAATACAAATATATAAATATATATAATATTTCAGTAATAATATCGAGTACGTATATAAATATATATTTATTTAATTAAACCATTTTACTAATTTTTAATTTTAATAATTACCAAGTTAAAACTTTGACTTTTAAAATTTAAAAAGTTAAACTTAAAACTATAGTTTTGTACGTTGGCTTCGATACCACTGAAAGGTAACCATGCAAGGATAGGCAGCGAAATATAAAAATTTTAACATCCTAACATGATTATATATCTTGCCCAGAATCGCATACTAAAACTTATAGTAGTAAGAAATTTATACCTTTCTATGTAAGCGGTAAAAACGAAGAAGTCGTAGGAACAGCGTTGAAAGTGCAAATGTAACCGTTCAAGCATCCGGTCTCAAACTTTGACACACGAACAACGCCGGAGTCTACCACAATCTTTATGCTAGTAAAGATTATTGTAGTATAAAATATAAAGATTAAAATTGGGATAATAATAGTTTTGTATATTTCTATAGAAAATATTTCTAATAATATTTAAAATATTATAGATATTTTCTATGCACAAAATGATATTAATGGAACCCTAAATAATCACTTTCTCTCTCTTGAAATGAAGTGGCCGAAAATTCCTTAAGCCAAATTGAAGAATGTGTTCTCTTTTATTCAAGTGAGAAAGTGGGTATAATAATGGACTTTTATTATGCATAAAATGACAAATTACCAAATCAATTACAAATCACTAATTTATCAATCAAGTAATATAATACGGAGTACCAAATTGTCAACCTTGAAATCCATATGGCCGAAACATGATTGTGAGAAGCATCTGTTAAATTCTTCTCCACTCAAATGTTCAAAGTGTATTTTATTTGACACCAAAATTAATATAAAATTAATTTTAAATCAAATAAAATTACCAATATCATTTTAAACAAGTATACAAATATACTTCAAATAGTTTATATCAAAATAATTATTTTTTATAATTAAAATTACAAACCAAAATAAAATATTCAATATATATATATATATATATTAATCGGCACATATATATATAATATATATATAACCGAATATTTATATGTATAATATTATATTCCAAAATATTATATTTTACTATTTTACAAATATACAAATTATTTATTATCCCATTGTTTAATCCTACTCATTAAATTGTCCAAAGTTTGTGACCCATATAGGCACTTATAGAGCTACCCACAGTATTGGCTATGCACCAACACTATAAGTAATAAACGGTATCTAGCAACACATTATTTCCCCCGGATAATAAGTTAAGACGTTTGCACCGTCAAAACCTTTCCACGGCTCAGACTCCGTGTAATTGTATCCCTTTGTCTCAATGTCTAAACTTAATGCAAGAGATTAATAAAATCCAGCTTGTATCCATTAAGTCATTCACTGATTTATCAAGTTTGACTGATGGGTTTACATATGCAGAAAGCGTAATACTTCAAGTCAAAGGATAGTTACACCCGTGGTCGCGCTAAAGATGCTTAGAGCATGAACTAAAAGTTCAAGCAACATCTTTAGAATGGGTCAGTCCGGCATCCTATTATCTACTGAAAATATCTACCCATGTGCGGATGCGAACACACCGTCATTGAATAGGAGACAAAGTCAAACATCCAACACATACTAGTCTCACATGCATTAACAATATCCTACTCTCGTTAATACTCGACTATGGACATTCAGATAAATATTTATTTCAAGATGTTAGTCTCATCAGCACAAAAACATTATCTGAAAAACATCTTTTAAATATAAATCTAGGAATATAATATTTTTTTACATTAGCATGAGATGTGTAAACATATTATATCTACCTTTACATGATAGAATAACGATAAATAGTTGGCCATCAGGGCACAACTCCAACACCGTACATATCCTTGATCGCGCGAGTTTTTGCAATGGGAACTCCTCTCGACTCAAGGCACCTCCATAAAACCTGCCTTGGCACCCTATCATACGCCTTCTCAAGATCAATAAACACCATATGAAGGTCCCTCTTCCTAGCCCTATATTCTTCCATTAAGCTCCGCACAAGGTGAATGGCCTCTGTAGTCGATCTGCCACGCATGAAACCAAACTGGTTCTCAAAAATGCGACCCCTTCCGCACCCTATACTCAATGACACGCTCCCAAACCTTCATGGTGTGGCTAAGCAGTTTGATTCCTTTGTAATTCTCGCAACTCTGAATGTAAACAGAGGGACTAACGAACTAACCTCTAGTCTCCTCCCACATTTAATAGTTCACAAAAGTACTCCCCCCAGTGCTTAGCCACCTTGGCAGTCTCAACTAACACTCTACCATCGCTGCCCTTCACGCATCTCACATGGTCCAGATCTCGGGCCTTCCTCTCACGCACCTTAGCAAGCCGGAACAGTTGATTAACACCGCCTTTCTCCTCTATATCCTTGTAGAGGTGTTTAAAGGCGGCATTCTTTGCCCTCGTAACCTCTAACTTAGCTTCTTTACGTACCTTCTTGTACTCCACTCGTAACGCCGCTCTTTCCTCCTCATCACTACAATCCATGTACCTCAGATATGCCACCTTCTTGGCTTCCACCATACTTCGAACTGAATCACTCCACCACCAATCACCCTGATGCCTACTCCCAAAACCAGAGCTCACACCTAACACTTTCCTGGCTGTTTCCCTTATGCAGTTAGCAGTCTGCGCCAACATATCAGTTGCCTCCCTGACAGATTCCCACGCACCTTTCTCTTGCACTCGTCTGATCAGCTCAGAGATAATAGTGATAGTAATTTCTATGAGCAAGTTGTTGATGATTTCTTTTGCTTGATGACCGATAGCAGATGATACTCCTTCGATTTCTTTGACGAACTTGACTTTTAAGAGATTTTGAAGTCTTTCCTTTGTCTGTATATCCAATGCAGGTCATGTCTCCAGGTGGCTTTGCCATAAGTGAATGATGATCTAGCACATCTGCTCCAGCGACCCTAATCCATGTTTGATAGGATTTCAGTTGGTTTAACTCGAATAGTAAGTCTGATTTTTCTCCTTCGAGTTCCTTAATCTTACATTTAAATCCTTCAATCCTTTGTTTTAATGCATCAACTTCTGAAAGTAGCCTATTTTTGTCTGCTATATTCCTTTTGTTCACCATTAAGAGCTCTGACCGCTTTTCTTGCAGGTCCTCTAGTTGCTCTGCAAGACTGTCATCATCTCCTGAATGGACACTAGCAACAAATGCGCAGTTGGATTCTTCACAATCACTCTGATCTTTAGTTTCTTCATCACTCCATGTTGCTTTGAATGCTTGTCTCTTTTTCTTCAGGTTATTTGCACACTCAGAATGGATGTGCCCATATCCAGCACATTCAAAGCACCGTGGTCCGTTTTTCTTCGTATAGCTAAGGTTATCTGTGTATTTTTCTTCTCTATACTTTGCATCTTTTGGTGAGAGTCCCTTATACGTACCTTCAAGTCTTTGATTGGCTCTCTTTTGAGCCCATTGTTTCTTGAACTGCCGTGTGAAAATGGATAACTGCTCTTGGAAATCTTCATCTGGTGACAAATCACGTTCACGGTCATCTTCAACCTCAGTACTGGGAAATGCAATCTGCCTATCAGGTTTACGCCGTTTACTGTCCTCTGCCATGTTGAGTTCAATTGATTCCAGTATTCCCATAAGTGCATCGAGAGTCATGGTCTTAATCTTGTGAGAACGTCTGAATGCTTTGACGTCCATTTCATATTCTTTAGGAAGTGATCTCAGCACCTTGACTACCAACTTGTTTTCTGGGATGGGCCGGGCTCATTCAGACGTGTGGCCTGATTTGCAATATCTCTAACTCTCCCATGAAATGCAGTGATCTTCTCTTTCTCATCCATACACAGATTTTCATATTGAGTCAGAAGAATTTGATACTTGGCAGTCTTTACTTCCTCATCTCCTTCATGCGTGACCTCGAGAACATCCCAAGCTTCCTTGGCATTGTTACAGTTAGAGATGAGCTTGTACTGGGTAGAGTCCACTGCTCCAAAGATTGCATTTAAAGCTTTTTCATTATACTCAGCAGCAATGGCTTCTGTTCTGCTATACTCTTCAAATGGTTTGATTGTTGATGTAGTCAAGTACTCGGAATATTTGCGAGGTTCAGACCATCCAGTTTCCACACTTCTCCAAACACCACCTCCAAGAGATTTGAGAAAGGCTCTCATCCTACCCTTCTAGAAATTGTAGTTGTGTCCACGCAACAAAGGTGGTCTTTGAACGTTTGCACCTTCTTCCATGTGTCCCATGATGTGATCGATAGCTAGTAACTTAAGCTATGTAGGCTCTGATACCAATTGAAATTTCCACACACCAAGCACAGTATATAACACTACAAGAAAAATGCTCTATAGTGTGAGTACAATCCGTCGTTGAAACACAAAAAACCGTCATTAAAACATTTTAATGAGAGGAAATTTACTCTCATCGACCGTCATTATAGCCTCTGTAGCGAATTACAAATAATGACGAGTTACAAGTCCTCTCATTAAAATTATTTAATGAGAGTATTTTTACCTTCATCAAAATACTCTTTTTATGACAAAAAATCCAGTCATTAATATACATACATACATATATATATATATATATATATATATATATATATATATATACACATATACACATATACATACATACATACATACATACATACATACATACATACATACATACATACATATATATATATATCTATATATATATATATAGTGGGTATTGATGAAAAAGATTTTATTAAAAAAAGAAGTAATGAAATTTAATGTACAAGAAGGGAGGACCAAACCAAAGCCCTTTGAAACAAAAAAAGAAGTATAAGTTAGAAACTAACATCCAACTGTATAACCTAAAACGAAACAACCCAGAATTTAATTAATCTTCAAAACGCCATCAAGCATCAACTTCCAAAGCCAAATGTTCAATGTTCACCTCCACTAAGAGTCCAACACATAGCAACGAACTCAGCTTTGACATTGTCCTTAGCAACACCATTCTCAATTCTGTCTTAGTCGCAATTCAGGGTTTAGCTTCAAAAGTAAAAACATTTAATGCTGCCAAGCCATCCCCAAACCTCTACATTCCTGAAAATTACAATCACATGACAAAAGAAACATTTTTATATACACAACAGTAGTTAAAGTGAACATAAACACAATCAACATCGAAGCCCCAAAGGCTCATGATCTATCAGTTAAACCTATGCAACATGTTCAACAATAACTAATGTTTACACATCTCAAAACCAACCTCTTGCAATAAACAAAGCAAACACCAAAAGCCTAAAACATGCACTAATGTTGAGCAGTATAAAGTCAAAATCCATGCAGCTTCTCCTCAAGAACATTGTTGGGCAGTATATTATTTATATGTTAAAATGTCAACTCCAAACAAATGTCCTTTCACTAAATTGATGCTCAAAGAAGTTATTGTTTAGAGTATGGGGCTCTATTCAATCAATCTCATAAAAAATAACAGAGTTAAAAAAGGCAAAATAGATCAGGGTACCAAGTAGATCTAGTTGAAGTAATGAATAGAAGTCTAGGGCCTTAAGCATTCAATCCCACCAATGTGACCAGTACTTGCAATCAATAAATGCTGCTAACCTGTTACTACGATTATTTTGGAAAGATTTACAATCTTGCCAACGTTACATCCATGGTAAAAATAGTGTTCCTTAGGTTGCCATTAGTAGTGTTTGGATACTAGATTAAAGGAAAATTTGTAGTTACATTTCGAAGACTAACATCCTAATGATTTTTTAACTACCATCATTTAACTCTTGTTAACTTTTTGCTGATTTAGCATGCAGTTCTAATGTTCCTCTTTCTAAATACTCCATACAATTATTGAAAATTTACATATAACATGTGTAGTAAATAAAAAGTGCAATGAAGTGTGTATGCCTAAAAAGTATGGAGGATTGGGAATTAAAAATATGATGAGCTTGAACACAGCTTAAATCATGGGGCATAATTAGGATGTGGCCAATAAAAAAGAGATCCTTTGGGTCAAATGGATTATTAATATTGGATACACCAAAGGGGGTACTTTCCTAAGATTGATGCACCTCATTACTGGAGAGATGATCAATGCGTGGGTTGTATTCAAAGATATGCCTGGAGCCAATAGGTTAATAAAAAAGCAAGAGCCACTTGATTTATTTCGACTTGGTTTGTAGTTGGCTCATTCCCATTTTTTGGCATTTCCTTTCTTTGGAATCTATGTTAAAGCACAAATTGTGATCACATTCAAACATCCTAATAAATAAGAGGGATATATATTGCACACAAAGCATTAAAGAAAAAATTCCAAAATATATAAAAAGCTCAAAACCACAAAACCAAGACCAGACTTACCAGAATAATATTCCAATTTCTGATTCGTTTGGAGAGCTATCTATTGGCGAGGCAGTTCCTTTTCTTTGTATGGGCACACGAACACTTCTTGGCAATGGAGGGCTTGTCCCCTGTAAACAACCACAAAAAAAACATGTGAATAAAACATGACTGGAAATAATAAATTAACAAACAACAATACCCAAGATACTGCCATAAGTGTCATAAAAAATATCATTATTTATGTGTTATCCTACATAATATATGGTTTATATTCCTTGTTCCCTTGCCTATACAACATCCGGCCCATGCCAAAACCAAGAATCATCTTCCAAAAATAGAAAGTAGTATCATCTAACATCAAACCATGCCCTAAGAGAACTAAAATTATGCTTCACAGTTCACACCAGCATTTAGATGCATCACCAATCATAAACATAATCTCAAGACCTGGAAGCTTATCAATTGATCCTCACAATGGCAGGAATACAATCTCAAGACCTCGTGTTGGAACACAAGTTTACGCCTACGTCGTACTAAACTGTGTTCGTTTCTATGACAGGTTTTGATAATGCCAAACCGCCGTGACATAACAAGGCTAAAGAGAACAAAAACCAAGGCGAAGGAACATGGCATGATGGTTTGAGAACCAAGAATCCAGAATCAAGATTGAAGAATTAGATTTGTATTGAGTCGGTCTTAATGTGATCAAGACCGGTACAAACTTTCAAAACTTGGCTCTCTAGGCTCATTTCATCAAAACTCTTTTTACAAACTCAAAAATGCTTTTCATAAGTTTTAATCTACCCAAAAACACTTGGAGTTCGCCCAGACCAAAAACCAAGCCATCCGGCATTTGGTTTTCAGAAACCGGCGTTCGGCTCTCGGTTTTCGGCATTGGTTTTTGGCGTCCGAACCAACCAAGTGGTTTTCAACTTTTTATGACTGGTTTTTACTACTGGGCACATTTAAATAGTTCTCCAACAAAAACGCCTCAAAAACCATCTTCCGTTTTTGGTCGTTTATTGAAAACCATGCGAAACGGCGCGAACTTGGCTAGCCGTGGTTTTCAACTAAATGACGTGGTTCTTAAGATGTTTCACTTGATTTCTTAGCAAAATGCAATAAGAAAATGTTTTCTAAACTTGGTTTTTATTTTGGAGAACTTGCGTTTTTGACATCGGCTAACGGCGTGACTAAACCAACCATGGGTCTGGCTAAACCAGCCCAACAGCGATGTTGAGGTAATCCACAGCGCTGTCTGGCCTGGGTAGCTAAAAACATGGTTTGGCGTTAAGTCCTCCAACAGCGATGTTGGGCATTAGACATTGCTGTTGAGCCAAGGTTGGAATTCCAGAAACTTCTGGAACAGCGATGTAGGCTTCCCTACAGCGCTGTCCGACCTAAGCCAAAAATATAGTGCATTGGCAGAATGTTTTTGGACAGCGATGTTGACCCAGCAACAGCGTTGTCAGGCCAAACTTCCATCTTCAAATGCAGACCTAAACAGCGATGTTCTATTATGGAACATCGATGTAGAGACCTGACCGTTGGAAGAAATTTAAGGCTAAAACTTTCCTTGTTTGGAAGTCAACAGCCAAAACAGCGATGTAGGGAATTTAGACATCGCTGTTGGCATGACCGTTGCTTCCCATTTTTCAAAACGCAAGCCTAGAACAACGATGTCCAGGCCTAGGACAGCGCTGTCTGGGTGAATTTCAGCAGATCCAAATTTTATCAAATCCCACAAATTGTGCCAATCACCCCTTAAATACTTTGGTCCGTTGGAGCCTATTTTTCTACTATAAAATGGGGTGTTTGGGTCTGTTTTAAAAAAACACATTACTTCACAAGTCCTACTCTTTCATAGCAAAGCATTCTTCAATTATCCACTCTAAAAGAGAGTATTGTTCTTGAGTGTTTTAGTGTTCTTAAACACTTGACAAGAGAAGGTATTCCTCTTGCTGTTCGAAGGAAGGGTTGTTTCCTTCGAAGGTTCGTGTGACTCGAATTCTCAAGTTGTATGGGTTTGTTAAGCACCGTTAAGCTTAACGAGGTAGTAGTATAGCTCGAGAGAGTCTCTCGGGAGGCTGGATTAGCCACAAGTTGTGGTGAACCAGGGTAAAATCGGTGTGCCTCTTACTCTTTTCTTTACTTCTCATTTATTCATTTTTTATTCCTGCGATTTTTGATCAAACACTATTCACCCCCCCCTCTAGTGTTAGTCTCTTATTCTAACAATTGGTATCGGAGCCTAGCTCGCGTCCAAACTTAACCGTTTGAGAGTAAAGCGATCATGGGCTCTTCTTCTAGAAATCTCTATGCAGGAATTGGAGAAGGTCAATCAACTTCTAGGCCACCACTCTTTGATGGCACCAACTACTCTTATTGGAAGGAACGGATGAGAATCTACATTCGCTCCACCAACTTCTAATTGTGGTTGGTGATAAAAAATGGCGAGGAAATCCCTATGAAGAAAGTGGGAGAAACCACGGTCCGAAAGACCGAAAACGAATTTGATGCCGAGGACATCAAGAAGATTGAAAACTATGCAAAGGCCATCAATATGCTATATTGCGCGGTCAACCCCGATGACTACTGAAAGATCTCCTGTTGCACAACCGCCAAGGAGATGTGGGACAAGCTTGAAGTGACGTACGAAGGTACCGATCAAGTTCGCGAAGCCAAGATCGATTTTCTCACCCAAGAGTACAAAATGTTCCGGATGAAAGAAGGTGAGAAAATTGATGACATGTTCGACCGTTTTTCAAAGATCATCAACGACCTTCATGCTCTCAAAAAGACTTACACCAAATGGAGGTCAAAAGCCGATGCAATCTATGAATCCATTGGAGTCTCCAACGTCACCATCGACGGGCTAAGAGGTAACCTTAAAACCTATGAATCTTTTATTCTAACCCCGTCTTTGGATGAACAAAAGAAAAAGGGGATAGCTCTCAAAGCCACCAAGGAACCGGTGGAAGAGGCTTCAAGCGATGACGACAATGAATTTGGGCTCGTCATCAAGAAGTTCCACAAGTTCATGAAGAAGGAATTTGAGCGGAAGGGAAGGAAGCACGATGGTCCTCCCAAGTGCTACGGCTGTGGCGAGATTGGACACATCAAGCCAAGGTGTCCAAAGGCCAAACACGGCAAGGATAAGCCTGGCTTCAAGAAGCAAAGGGCCTACATCTCTTGGGGTGGCGATTCCGGCGACGAATCAACTGACCAAGAGGAGGACGAAGCTGCAAATCTCTGCCTCATGGCGCACGAAGATCAAAGCGACGACGTCCAAGAGGTATGTAATATTTCTTCCGACTCTTACACTTTTGAAGAAATGCAAGAAGCACTACATGAACTTTATGAGGAATTTGTTAGCGCTTCTAAAACAAATAAATCCCTGAAGAAACAACTTTCTTTACTTGAAAACGATTTTGAAAAATTGGAAAAAGAAAATGAAATACTTAAACAAGAAAACAA